AATTTGTACGTTGAACACGGATTTTGCGGTGACCAGCAGTGAGTCAAAAGTCTTGCACCCATTTTCAATTTCTACTGTTGTTAATGATGGGCCAGTGAAGCTTATAATATGCTGATTTCTAATTTCATGTTTGGGACGATGCACTACTACTGCTTTCTGTCGACAACTTTGAAACAATAATTTTCAACATGTTTGGAAATGTCTCATTTGCCATTTTCTTTCCGGCAGAAAAAAAAAATCATGGATGTTCAATGATAGGGCGCGCTGATTGGTCATTTTATTTTTGTTTTAATTTTTTTATCTCTTTATTCCCTTTCCAAATAATATATTTTTGTGGCTTTTTTCAAAGTATATATCAATTTGTCCCGTTTAATCAAAATTTGATTAAATTTTAATCTTTATAAATTATTTATTCGAGTAAATTATGAATAAATGTCCATCAAACTTTGGTTAGATATCAACATATGAACAAATAATTTGAAAAAGAAGCGTATTGATGTATACTTTAGAGATGGGACAAAATAATAATTTTTTTAAAACATGAACAAAATGATTAATCAACTTACATGATAACAATATCTTCAAAACAAGAAACAAAAAGCCATGAGGACGTAAACATGAATATAAATAAAGCTCTTCTTGTTTACCAAAAAAAATAAAAAAATAAAACTCTTCTTTAATTCTCATTTCCATTTTCCTTGTCCACTTTGCACGCAAACAAGAAACTCAATGGTGCTTTCGTCTGCGTGTGGGTCCACTTTCGTTTGCACCATTAAGAAGAGAAACTCAAAAATAAAATACATGGTCATAATGTAACATTAACACCATTTTCATGCACGTAAAAATGGAAGACCATATCCCCATGTTCCGTATAAGTTCAAATTCACCATCTCTTTCATCTACTTATTAACCACCTTGCCACAATCACAATGTAAAAAAGAAGACACCAATTACTCAGTTTCTAGCAGGTCATTTATACATGTGCCAGTTTACAGGGAAATCCCTTTGGAATCTGATGGTGGAATAGGTTCTCTTAGAAAAGCTTCTGCTAATGGTTTTGACGTGTTCTATAATATTGCAGATGACGGAGAATGCGCAAGTTTTAAGGAAAGTAATGGAGCTTGCGGAACGAATGATACTGCTATGGCCACAGTGCTAGTCCCAGAGAAAAGAGAGAATTATTTCCATATATATCAGATGCTAGAGGAACAATGGGGAAAATTTCTCCAGCGCATTATTTTTAGATGTAGAAAGTTTTCTCTCATTTGAATCCTCCTTTTAATTTTTATTTTCATTTAAGTCTTAAAAGTTTTTCCTCTTCGGATAGGATGTATGTACATCCATAATACCTAAGATTTGTTCGAACAATGGGGTATGTACGTAGCTCCAGAAGTGCTGAATAGGCATTTTGCTGGAGTTTTACACAAGTCTAATGTTTATAGCTACGGAATGATGTTATTAGAAATGGTGGGAGGTAAGAAGAACGTTAATGCATAAGCAAGTCACACAAGTGAGATATATATACTTCCCGCATTGGATACACAAGAGCCTAGAGCTTGGCAATGAGTTGAAACTAGATGAGGTGATGACAGCATAAGAAAATGAGATAGCAAAGAGGTTGACTGTAGTGGGTTTATGGTGTATTCAAACGTTTCCAATGATAGACCTACAATGAGTACACAATGAAAAAGCCACTTGGTAACGAGCTGGTGCCAATATTTTAAAAAAATACAACATATTCTTTTAAAAAATTATGATATAGTTTTGGTATTGGTTATGTTTTTAAAAATAATACATCATTGATACTAACTGAATTTTATTAGTTGAGTATTTTGATACTATCTTAATCTTATTTCTGGCTCCGCTAGTGATAAATATATTGATATTGGATGGCAGCATGAATTCACCGGAAATGCCACCAAATTGGAGTCCTTTCACTTTTATGTACACATATTAATATGTCTAAGGTTTTATTTGGTGTGACGTATTTATATTATACGTTATGACATTTTCAGTTGTTTGGTGTGACCATCATATAGTATAAGTTTATACAGCAGGATCCCTTAATACATCAAAACGATGTATAACTTAATCCGGTCTAAGGGAGAGGGATAAGGCCTGATAAGAGGTTGGTGTATTAACATCGTTGACCAGTGTAATTCTCAAAAATTAATATATTATAATATTAATATATTAAAATAAAAATTAATTTTTCAATATATTAATTTTTAAAATATTTAATATTTTTATTTTTATAAAAATTAATTTATGTTTTGGACACACTGATCAATAAATTTTTATAAAAATTAATATCATATGACATTTTTTTGAAGAATTATATAAATTCTTTATTAAATGATATTTTTATTAAAAATATTTATTTTTATCCTATATAGTATTTTACAGTACATTACCAAATACTAGATGATATTATCTTATACAATATATTATTTTATACAATACCGTGTCAAACGCTGGATAATATTAAAATTTAATCAGGTCTTATACAATCAGGTCTTATACTATCAAGTCTTATTCTATACTATGCACTAAACATGTCCTAAACAACAAAGCCACAATATGAGATCTCGTATCAAATCAACCATAAGTCTTTGAATTTATGAGTCTTTTTTTTATACAAATGGGAATTGAACATATGACCTAATACAAACTATCCAAATCTCTCCCCACTAGACCAAACATAGTAGCTTTATGAGTCATTTCAGTTATATGTATTATGCTTAGCCCATTCCTTCGCGATGTGTTATTTTTTATCACTCGCATTTTAATTCCCAATAAATACAACATGTCCTAATTTTGATTTTAAAAATCGCATGTCAAATGATCTAGAAAATCGATGAAAAAAAAATCTTCAAAGAAAATAGACTGCATTTAACGGTGCTTGACGCTATAGAAACATTAATAAGCTCTCCTTTTGCAAAAAGACATAAAATATAATGTTCGTTATCCATATAATTATAGGATTTGATGTTTTTTATATTATAGAAAACAAAATCATTTTTTACACACATATAAAAGCGTGCGAGGTCTATGTGGGGCTATCTAAAGAGAAGAAATAGAAAAAAATATGGGTTTATTGGGATTTTTGACCCGTTTGCCCCATTTTAAAACAAAAATTAACATGCCTATGTTTTTCCGTTGACTGGATGATATAATCGATGACATTGTCCATGTAACCATTTACATGAGCTAAAGTTTATTATAAAATTTTGAAAGGTCATATAATCATATGCTTTTTTTATTCCAGATAACTTTTTGAGATCCACGCACTCGTAAATTCCTGTAGGATTACTTGTTAATGTTGGAAAGTAAAATTTTAAATAACATCATACTCAAAAATAAAGTATGTCAAAACAAGCACGTAGCTCGATCTCTAAAAATTATATGGAATAAGAAAAACACCTAATTAGGACACCTTCATCCAAAGTTATGGGCTTCCGAAGTTTTACGGTGAAATATCCCAAATTTTGGAATGTTTTGACCAAATCCCCTCTTCAATGATATGCCATTACGTAGATATCGAAAAATTATGTGAAATCAAATAAAAATTTACCTTATTCAAATACCCGAGCCAAAAATTATGATCTTCTAAAATTTTACGACTAAACTATTGATTTTTTTGCCACGTGTTATCACTGATTCACTGGTGAGTCACGCCTTGCATGGGGCGTGAATGGTCACAGCCATTTTTGAACATAACTGAATGAAATAGATCTGTACGTATTTAATTTCAAAACAATTATATTTTTATAAATAATTATTAAAAGAGCAATATTTTAATTTTTCTGCGGGAATCTATTAGTAAGGATTTGATTATAAATTGTTATAGCACTATTTAAAAAACTTGACCCATTAAAAAAAGTAAAGTTAGGAAAGTCAGGGTTTTTTCGAGCCTGCTTGATTACGTTCTTCTTTTTTTATGTTTCTTTAAAATTATTTTGTATAATAGTTAATGAAATGAGTATTTTTTTGTGTTTTTTTATTTTAAAATTTAAAACAGTTATAATTTTTAAAACTATTTTTACAAATAAATAGTACCAAATAGGTGTGTTCATCAACCGATCCAAATAGATTCAAACCGCAGTGACCAAACCGAAAAACTAATAACCGAATAAATCAAAAATCGAAAAAAAAACCCGCAAATTTTAATTGGATTGGATCGGTTTTCGATTTGGTTGATGAAAATCGATTCAATCCAATATGTTAATTCTCCTCTACCTACTTGGGTCTTTCCCAATCATAGTTCAAAACATTCTAAACCCAAGACCCATTAATTAATTAACTAAATCCAAGAAAAAAACTAGCCACATCTCATCAGCAAAATTTCATGTGTAGAGCTTCATATCTCATTGCCAAAAGAAAAACTATATTATTGTTTACTAAAACTTCTGTATTTCGGAAGAAGAAAAATATTACAAAGTCAATATATACAAAAGATATGTTATTTGCACAATAATCATGAAAGAAATTTTAGGCTTTTCAAAAAATTAAAAATCGATCCAATCTAAATTTGAAAAAAATTGGATTGGATCGGATTAGAATTGAAAAAAAATTCAAACGGAATGAATGATTACTTGATCAAATCAAAGGAATTGGATAGGATAATTTTTATTTCCAAAATCGATCCAATCTAGACCGTAAACACCAATGTTCCCAAACATGTTTTTTTATTATGAGAATTAAAAAACTATTTTTTGAGAACGGAATTCAAACCGCCCTTCCTCTTTTTCAAAATTTTAGTTCTATTTTCTTTGGTCAATCCAGTGATATAGGAAACTCATAGGTAGTTTCGTCCGAGACTCTTGCTTGAAATTAAGTTCCCTCGAGAATCGAGAAAGAGAAAACACTTTTTTTCTTCTTGTTTTTTTTAAGGCACATAAAAGGGCTAAAGCCAGAAAACACTTTAATTAAAAGCTATGATATATATATGTGTTTGTGAGGCGTTAAGTAAAGTAACTGTAAGGGCGTTGTCGATAAGAATGGATGATAATATTGATAAACGCTTAGTCCTTAAAACCATAGCCACCATGTTTTTGTTCATCTTAACCAATTTGCCACAGTCCCATTCTCAAGAAGAAGACACCAAATACACCAATTGTAGCAGGCTGCCATACAACTGTGGATACATGTCCAACATCTTCTACCCTTTTTGGGGACACAACAGACCCCAATATTGTGGCGGCGGCGACCAATTAGGTTTCAAACTTGAGTGTCAGAATGATAGTACCACCATTCTAAATGGCTTACAAAATTTCCAAGTTTTGCATATCGACACAACAGCTTACACCATTACAATGAAGCAAAGGGTCGATGATGTTTGTTCTCGGCAACTTAACGACACTTACTTGGACCTGGACCCCACCCTCTTCGCGTACCATGGAACTGTGTACAACATCACCATTTTCTACAACTGTTCCTCTTCTTCAGATTCCTCTGCAGTAGATAGATACAACTTCACGTGCGGAAATAATGAGAATGGTACCTATCGTGTGGGTGATAAAGATGACGTGTTGAAAGAATTCCCAGAGCTTCAGAATTGCAAACGATATATCCAAGTGCCGATTGAGGTTCCTCTGGATCCTTATGGCGATAGATTTGATGCTCTGAATAAGGCTTTGGATGGTGGGTTTGAGGTGAACTATACTGTTCCACACGATCACGAATGCATACCATGTTTGGATAGTAAAGGAGCTTGTGGAGTCAATTTAACTTCTCATCAATTTACCTGTTATTGCCAACATGGATCTGATGCTATTCATTGCTATGGTGGAGTTTCTAATAGTACGTCTTCCTTCCTTGCATGCCCCTCTTCTTCTTAATTACTTTATCTACCATTTTTTCTCATACACCGCCTTCAAAATATTAATTAGATTTTGATTATACAATACACTTTTGCTACAATATTTTCAAAATATTATTTTATGTGTCCAATATCTACAAGTGTGGCTTTTCCCCTTCACTACAAAGTAGAATATTCTCCTTTGAAGCTTAAAACCTTCCAACATGACTGAGTTCAGCAGAATAAATTTTTGTGCGCACTTAAATTCAGTGGAGAAAAAAAATTAACTGACATATAATATTTTTATTAGTAGAATGCATTGAATCTTTGATGCAATATTAATACCAAAAATTTATTCCAATCACGACTGCTCTAACCAACTCCTCTTTCCTCTGACTACTATTGTTTCAGGTACTTGGTGGAACTTGCTACGAAAAATACTTATAGGTAATAGATTTAATTTCTTATTATATTTTTGTAATATTTATGAGAAATCTTTATTCAATCTGCACCCTTTCCTCTTTTTTCTTTTCTTTTTTCACGTTTGGTACTCGGTTCTTTTTATGACTTGAGAAAAATTAAAAATTTTAAAATTTTTAATTTTTGAATATTATAGTAAACTATATGTTTTCATCATATTCATGAAAATCGAAATTTCTGGGTAAAATAAAATTCTTCTCTATCAATCTCTTCTTTTATGCACCAACATATAAGAGAGAGAATGTTTGGTAGAGAATAATTTTTTTTTCCGAAAATTTCGATTTTCAAAAATATAATTTTTATATTCAGTTTACAATAATATATTAAAAAATTAAAAATTTAACAAAATTCAGTTTATCCAAAATTTTAAAAAATACCGCGTACCAAATGTCATCTAAAAAAGAAGAATAATTATCCTTCATTAAATTGGAAAGCGCAGACACATCTCTTATTTGGAAAGCATTTTCGGTGCACTCGTCCTCGTAGGTGCATTCTTCACTCAAAAAATTATACATGGACAAATTTGTTTCTGTCTTTGTCTCCTCCGTACAATTTACACATCTTCTCTCTATTTTTTATTTGGCTGTCGCAGTGAATGAATAGTGCGACAAGTGTACCTTCAAAAATTACCTCTTTTTTGGTTTATAAAGCCTTAATATTTTTGTACCTTTGACGACACTTTTTCGGACTTCAATTGAAAATAATTTTGAAATATGAATATCAAGTATGAAATAAAAGCATACCCTTCAACATCCCCAACACATAATTCAAAGCACGCACCATAGGCACATGAGTAATTGATATAGAGTTCTTTCAACTTAACCAATGATTTTAAATTTCTAGGTATACAAGTATGTTAAAATTTGGTATGGAAAACTTTGTTATATTCTATTTTAAGAGGCATGATCTTCTTCTTACACCGATGTAAGAGTAATAATTCTTACGCTCAATCTTAACAATTGATTTTCGTATATCTAACAATTATAATTAATAATTAATTAATGAAAATAATCTAATTAATTGCAGTCGTTTGATGAACGAAAATCAACAGTTAAGATTGAGTGTAAAAGTTATTAGTCTTATACCGATATAAGTTGATCATATCTCCTATTTTAATTTTAAACTTTAATAGTTTTATTTTAACTATTTTATGTATTTACTTAATTAAACTTTTCCATGCGTGGTACTTAGGCAAAAGGGGGAGGCTATGAGTAGTTGCTATCATTAAGGGTCTCTTTAGCGAGTTAATTTTTGGTACCACAGGAGTATCAAGTATGTATTCCCTTATCAAAAATAGAAAAAGAGGGATATAAAAGAAAATAATCATAAAGAAAATAATAGTGTAAATATGTTACTTTTTTTTCATATTTGGTAAAAGATGTACCGGATGATTGGTACATCTGATGTACCGAAAATATTTTCCTCTTTAGCATGTTTTATTTTTAGTGCATCTTCTCTTTAAAACAAAAATTTAACGAAATATAATTTTATAAAAGTTTTTATTATAAAAAGAGATTTTTTTTATAACAAAGAAAAAAACTAAAAACTAAAAATTCTCTAGAGAAGTTTTTTTAAGATGTGTGCTAGCTTTTTGTAGTCATCATATTTATTTTATAGTTTGAGGTAGCTAGGATGTTCTTACTCTTATTCTAAATTTGTATTTATAATTTTACTCTAATTATTTACTCTAATGGTAAATTGTTGCATCTCTTTCATTTAAAACCCGGAGAATAGGTTTATATAATCATTAAAATGTTTTTAAATTTATTTAACTTTAACTTAAAAGTAACTTATAGTTTAAAAAAAATGTCAAACAATCTCTAAAATATCCTAGAACTATAACTTTTAATTATTTAGGTTTTGTTTTTCCTGCAATATTAATTTTTGAAAATAAAACTATATCACATGTTTCTGAACCACTAATTCATTAACTGTGTCTGCTAACAGGTATTATTGGCGGAGTGATAGCAGGATTGTTGATATGTATCACTATTTTTTATTTCAGATGCAAGTCATCAACATGGAATGAAAAATTTTGTTTGACCACAAAAAGTAACCAAGATATTGAAGCATTCTTAAAAAATCATGGAGCCCTAACTTTAAAAAGATACAAATTCTCAAATGTCAAGAAAATGACCAACTCCTTCAAACATAAACTAGGACAAGGTGGTTTTGGTTCTGTATACAAAGGACATCTATTTAGTGGTTGCCCTGTGGCTGTAAAGATATTGAGGTCATCCAAAGGAAACAATGAAGACTTCATCAATGAGGTTGCCAGTATCAGTAAAACTTCTCACGTCAATGTTGTCACCCTTCTTGGATTTTGTTTGGAAGGCCGCAAGAAAGCTCTCATCTATGAGTTTATGTCCAATGGTTCCCTTGAAAAGTTTATTTACAAAGAGGGACACGAAACCGTTGCATCTTTAAGCTGGGAGAATTTGTATCAAATTGCCATAGGAATTGCTCGAGGGTTGGAGTACTTGCATAGGGGATGCAATACTAGAATTTTGCATTTTGACATAAAACCACATAATATCCTCTTGGATGAGAATTTCTGCCCCAAGATATCAGATTTTGGGCTAGCAAAGCTCTGTCCCATGAGAGAGAGCATAATTTCCATGTCAGAAGCTAGAGGGACAATTGGGTATGGAGCTCCAGAAATGTGGAATAGACATTTTGGAGGTGTTTCTCATAAGTCTGATGTTTACAGCTATGGAATGATGTTGCTAGAAATGGTGGGAGGGAGGAAGAACATTCATGCTGAAACCAGTCACACTAGTGAGTTATACTTCCCACATTGGGTATACAACAGGCTTGAGCAAGGCAGTGATTTGAGACCAGATGAGGTGATTACCACAGAAGAAAATGAGATAACAAAGAGATTGACCGTGGTTGGTTTATGGTGCACTCAAACGTTTCCAAATGATAGACCTACAATTAGTAGAGTGATAGATATGTTGGAAGGCAGCATGAATTCCCTGGAAATTCCCCCAAAACCTATGCTTTCCTCTCCTACTAGATTAGTATCTGAATCCTTCACCTATTGAAATATCATTGTATTTTAGGTAAATAGTACTGTAAAATGGATCATTCAATATACTTGTGTTTTACTTTTCAATCATCCTGAGAAGCAAGTGTATATCATATGTATATTAAACTGTTAATAGATTGAATGCAAAAGCGAGTGCAATTGATGGAGTAAACTCTATGTTATGCAGAATACTGAATAAAAGGCTGAATTAGATGAACCTGTTGCAGAAAGCCTAAGAACAATTGCTGACCCTGATCAAATAGTTCCAACTTCCAACACAAGGATAAGTGGCAAACCGCCTTTGGCGATCAAGGTGAGATCGTCTTCAAGATAACTCCACCTGACCGAATAAATCTTTGGTACTACTGTTGTACCTAAATTCAGTGCATTTCATCAATGAGAGCATTACACGTTAAAGGAGAGAGAAAAAATCTGACAAAAAAAAAAGAATTTAAGTAACATGTATTATTTTCATTGGTGGGATGTACTGGATCTTTGATACAGCAGTAGTACCAAAGATTTATTCCACGTGAGCAAGTCCAGGACACAAGGTTCGGGATAAGAAAAGCAGGGAGCTATCTTGAGGATAAGAAAATCAGGGGAATCGTGTTCAGGAAGAAAAGGAAAAAGATCAGAAAAAGCAAGGGAGCAATTATTCTATAAATAGGAGGAGGCTCTAGGAAGAGAGGGCTGGCAGTTTTCACAAGAAAAAGAGAGCTTGAGAGTTTCTTTCTTTTCTTAAAAAAAAGTTTGTATCAGTGAGATTCTTTTGTTTGGAAGGTACTCTAATAAAAGCAAAAAGAAAAAAGGAAGGGAGGCAGGATTTGTTTCGGAGAAACTCTGATTCTGGTAATTTTGGTTTTTTTATATATTATTTCCCACTGTTGTTTAGCAATTGATAACTCATATTCGGATAGTATGATGGTTGATTTATAAATTTTACATATCTCAATACCTTATACTTGTGTTTTAAGAATGCTTGCTTGAAGGATTTTATCTGTTTGTTTGTTTGTTTGTTGCTGTTGATGCTGAGAATGCTTGTTCTGATATAGCTTGATTTGTGTACTAAGTGGAAGATGCATACTGCAGAGATTGTTATTTTGTTTTAATGTTGACGTGATGTTTGACATAGTGTCTGACTCGACGACGAATCCTTGTGAGTTGATTTCTCTTTGTTGTGCATGAACCTCAAGTAAGAATGCTTGTGTTATTTTTTTATATTATTGCTAATAGCTTTTATTAAACGGAAAGCTGTCATGGATTCAAAGTTAATATACATAGTCAGATTTTAATACATAAGTGCTATTAGACCATTGCGGGCCCACATCGTTTTTTGATCCTAAAAACTAAATATTCTTCAATAATCCTTGATGTATACATTTATGGGAAATAGAAATATAATATTATAGGAAAGTGTTTAAGGAATGTTTGGTACGAGTATTTGATATGGAACGATGTGAAAGTGGAGTGAAGAATATTTATTTACCATGTTTGGTATGGGTATTGTAAACAAAATGCCATCAATTTTTTTTCTCTAGTATTTTCCTTTTCAACTTCACAAAGGCAAAAAATTATCTCACTTAATCTTTGGTATTTTTTTTTTGCCTATGGTCTTGGATTTTGAATATAATATGTTAAGTCACAAATACTCTTGTGATATATGACAGCATATGTAAAGAGATTGCCATGATCTTTGGTATTTTGGTAATTTCAATTTACATTTTCATCAATATTTTACCATCAACCAAACATGACATCAGTAAAATTAACCCAATTTTTCCGGCAAAATTTTGGCCAACCAAATACTTTTTTTTAACTTACCCGAAATAAAAAAATAAAAAAATTCTACCAAATCTCCAACAATATTTTTTTTTGGTTAAAAAAAGTATCTCTCATATCAAACGGCCCCTTAAGTTATGTTATAGAGATAGAGATTGTGAGACCCACACTTTTTATTTCTTTTATTTTTGATAACAAGTATGGGTCTCATAATTTTGATCTCTATAACATAACCTAAACATTTTCTTATAACATTATAATTATTTTCCCCACATCTATGTAATAGTTGTGGGCTGAACATTTTTCTCCTTTGCCTGAATGTATTATGGTAGCAAATGTTTATTATTCTTATATTGTATGTTTACGATTCCCAATGTATTTGATATATAACTATAAAATAGTTGTTCTTTTTATTTGTTTCATCCCATCGTTTCCATATGTATTACTTTTTTCTTTTTTTTCTTTTTTATATATAATATTATTTCATTAACTATATGTTAGCCACTAGCTACTGGGAGTTCGCTCTTTTTCATATTGCTTCTCCTTTTCGATTCTTAAGCTAAATGTGTTTTATTGTGCCGAATTCTGTATGTGTAGTCAATCTGGTTAATAATTACATCGTTATTATTATTATTATCAACTATGTAGTTGATTATGAAAACGAATCACAAGTTATATTTATGGTAAAAGAAGAGGATTAGCGAACAGCTTGTTAATTCTATTGTTTTTAAAATCATTTCGATTGTGACAATATGATGATTTTAAGCCAAGAACTTTTTTTGCAATTAATTAAAATGAAAGTCAGCTGAGCCGTGACGGCTTGTTAACTCCATTTTTTATTTTGATTCATTTTAATCGTGACGGCTTGGTGATTTAAAATTTATTTAAATTTATCGTAAAATTTATAATAATGAAAATAATAAAATGAAATTTATTTTAAAATGATTAGCTGAATTGAAACAGCTTGTTAATCCCACAATTATCATTTCAGATTATTTTAGCTGCGACAGCTTGATAGTCCGAAATTATCAAATCTAAAACGTTCAAATGATTTTTTTTTAAAATTATTTTCAAAATTAAAATCAATCAACACACAAATATTTTCTACAAAATGACGTAAGTTTGAGTTTCCTATTATACCGAGGGAGGGATACGTCGGAGCGGGACGCTTCCCGTCAAGCACAAAAATAAATTTTCAAAATTAGTTTTCTTTTTCAACAATCATTCTTATTTATTTTTTAGGGTGAAATGAATATTTAAAATCTTATCAATAATTCGCATAATTAATATAAGGTAACTATTTTTTTAACGTACGGGGTAGGATGCTAATACTTTTCTTACTCGTAATCAACTCCAGAAAGCATTTTATTTTCAAAGACCAATTTTCTTTAATAAAATATTTTTTTAATATTTTTCTAAATTAACTTTGTGACGACTCTATTATTTTAATCTTCAATATATTTCGCCGTTACGTCACCCCAGTTGCGGCTTCAGTACCCCAGAAAAACTTAGGACCCGGATAAATTTGGTTCCAAGATTTATTAAAATTTAAGTAGCCACCATATCTAATAAGACATGGTTTTGACCATCGTAACTCGTTATTTTACTTTTACATCTGTAATATGTCCCTTAAGTAAGAAATTCTATTGTATTAGGCTCAAAGTATGAACAAAGTGTAGGCGCACGGTGAAATCTTTGTCACGGGACATTTGAAATTTTACTTTTTTTTTAATTAAAAGAAGGGAGCGGTAAGAAATCACTTGATGCTAAAAGTAAAGATTTTAATATTATATTAATTGATGATAATTCAGTTGATGCATGAAAGTTAGCTGAGTAAGTGAAGGTAATAGCATGTATTCAATACTCTTTAATATCATATTTGAAAATTGAAAAAAATTTAAAACTTTAATTATTGACCCATCACAAACAATATTGTCTTCTGTAGACAATACTTAGGATTTATTTAAAATAAAATAAAAAAGAGATTTTGATATTATATTAGGAACCAACTCTTCTAAAAAATAAAATTATTAAATTAAAAGCACATAAATAATTTTATATTATATTCTAACTGCGATCATCATTCCTTCGTCACTGTATACCATATCTGAAACAAGGTGGCCTCTGTAAGTAACGTCTCCATCAATTATTACGTGAGCGTATCGGAAGGGGGAGAAAAGGTAGAGGACTTTTGATTATTTTTCCAAGTCTTTTTGTGTTGGCCCGTAAGGAGTGTCTTATTCACTTATTGGTTGCACAAAGCTTCATTTGATTATTATTATTATTATTTTGGTACATATTCACTTTTTTTTTTTTTAACACTTCATTTTGATTACAATCTAGAACCAATATATAAGAGCATGTTTGTATCCTCTTATTTTTAAGTTAGAAGCTACTTATAAGCTAAAGTTAAAAAAAAAAGAAGCTAAAAGCTGTTTGAAAATTACATAAGAAATTTAGCTTAACAATTACTTAAAAGCACATATTTCAAGAAAATCATCTCTCTCTGTCTTTATCACTCTTCATTTAAAAAAAAAATACAAAATTCAAGTAAAACAGATAAGAGCTTAAAAAAAAAGCTCCTCCTAGGAGCTTTTAATTTTCAGTTTTTTCTTCATTATAAAAAAAAGAGTTTTTCGTTATAAGAGCTTTTTCCAAAACTTGTTTGGCCTAGCTTATGCTTATAAGTAGCTTCTAGTTTAAAAATAAGAGAATCCAAACAAGCACTAAATATATATATATATATATATATATATATATATATATATATATATATATATATATGGGAAAAGTATGTTTTTAGTAGCCGTAGATAAAGTTATCTCAAAAAGTTTAAGAAACGATAAGACCCATATATATCCTTGAACGTGCCAATCGTTCAACTTCGATGAAATTTGTTCTTTGCTATTAATGAATTTTATTTTTATTTTTTTAAGTAATACATAAGAGATTCCTTTATAACCAGATAATCATTGATCATTCGTTACTTAAAAGTTATAACAATGCAATTACTAGAAAAACTGATAAGAAAAAAAAAAAACTCCTCAAGAATAGTCTAATTGTTAACTTATTATCACACATAATTTTATGAATTGAAGCTCCTTAAGAATTCTCCTTAGCCTTGAAATTGGTCATTATTGGCTTTGAAATTAATGGAGGTATCTCTGATTTTGAGATCTCCCCTTTCTCTGTCTCTACCTCTTTCCCTTCCTCAAAAATTATTGGAACGAGTATCGG